AGTGGATGCTGTTTCGGAAGGAAACTTGAGAGAGACGGCGCCCATGGTTTTGGCTCGATGCAAGACGGCGGCATACAAGAGCAGCTCGGAGCTCAGAAGACCACTTGAAGTAGAGAGGGAAATAGAGGTTTCCACCAGTTCGACATCGGAGGAAGACTTCAAGCCTCAGAAGATAAACGTGAAGAGAGGTTCAACGAACGGACAGACATGGGAAGTAGATGTCGGCAAAGAATGGATCTCGAAGGCACACCAGGCCACGGGCAAGCGAGTGACAAGTGATCCATTGGAAAGGAACAAGACGAGGAACACCTCCCGGACGTGGTGGGTGGCCCTTGAAACATTGAAAGAAATGGAGGACTGCTGGAAGAAGTTGGACAGTGGAGTAGCTCGCAAGCGACGCAATTGGGCCACCCAGCAAAAGGCCGAGGTTAATAGAATAGAAATGGCAAATCATCTGAAGAGGTTCTGGCAGAGTTTGTTGAAGGATCATTTTGAAGAAGCAATGAGGACACCCTCATCAGCACCACCATTAATGGCGAATCCCTTCGTTAGAACTGCAGGACAATTAATGTTCACCTGGAGTCTGGTGGGGATAGAGTTGGAAACACTGACCTCGTATGACAGGCTGAAGTTGGGAAGCAAGAAGCTAGATGTGTATCAGGCACTGATGCAACACGTAGCCAGGGACAACTCAGGCTTGAGCCTGGCCAGAAGAAAGGATGCCACGTGTTTCTTGAGATGGATAATGTCGATGATGTCTGATAGCACCATCCTGGCATGCCAACAGAGAGCAAGCGTAAGCAAAACCATGGAAAAAAGAGTCTCAACGGTCATCTTGAACGTGTATCAGAGCACAGGAATAGAAAAGGAAGAGGGTTCCAGACTATCCCTAGAGAACCATAGGAAGCTAGACGAGGTACGGAGGTTTTATAATAAGAAGTTCGAAGAAGAACATGATGTTCACCGTAACCTGGCCTCGTCAGAGCAGTACTCGAGAATCAGCGAGAAGGGGGAATACCAATATGTGTCTGGAGTGATGGGAATGGCCTACAACCCCTTCTTAGACTCGGAAGCTGGAGGCGCCCACAGGAACCATGAGGTAGCGGAGCTACTGAAGTTTTGGACAGAAAGAATAATGGAAATAGACGCGGTGGAAAAAGAGGGGCCGAGCCTGGGCCTGATTCTTGAGAAAACACCAGAGGTGGTGAGCATACCGCGTTCAAACAAGAGAGTTGAAGTGAACATGGGCGATGGAAATGGCTTGTTAACCACGAACTTGGGAGTGGTATGGAAGCTATTAAGACCCTCCTGGTGTCCACATCCCCACGCGAGTCTGATCGAGGAAACCACCGAGCGAGTGAGGTTAGCACCAACGGAAGATGAAGATCTGGCAAAGTTGAGTGTGCTGCATAAGCTAACTTCACCTCAGATGCAAGAGCCAAGCGAAAAGACTAGTAATCCCGGGTCAGCAAAGAAATTGGAGCCGGGTAGCTGTCTGGATTCGACGTGTGGAAACGGAGAGCACACCTGCGATGGACGGTCATGCGTTAGAATACTGTCATTTCAAAAAGAAGACCTGGTCACTTGATTCGAAGACATAACAGAAAGGGAGAAAAGTGAAGTGCAAATAGTAGCGGAGTGTTACGCGAGAACCGCGGTGAATATAGCCGCAGCTCTCGGATTCTTCTCGAGAATGTGTAGTCTGCAGTCACTGGAAAGACTAGAATCTGAACATCATTTAGTGACGGCGTTGAGCGTAGAATCATGGCCCGGGGTGTTGCAGGTGACTCAAAAACACATCCGGAGCTGGAAGGTTGGTCTCGAGGCGGAAATGGGATTTCCCATGAGCGAAGCTTATGGCTTGCCATTGAACGCGAAATCGCTGATAGGGTCAATGATGGCCAACTTGTGCGGAAGTCACTACCCACTGCACATGGTGATGGTGGAAGCATCCAGCCAGAGAGTACTGGTGGACAAGGCCTTCTCAGTGCCCAAGTGCGTGAGGTTGGCTCGGATATCGCATCACTCGCACAAGTTGTTGAGAAAAATCAGAGGGACAGTACCAAAAGAATTGAGAGATGACTTGAGTGAAATCTGGGGAGAAGAACTTTTGAAGTTGGAGAGAGAGAACACAAGCGATCACGAGAGACAAAACGTGATCGGAAAACCTATGGGAAGTGCTCCAAACCTGGAAGATAACGACACGATGCATGAGAAAATGATGGAGCTTGAGCCTCTCTTGGAAGCCTCGGGGGAGCGTAACCTCAGGAGCATTGAAATCACCCATGGAGAATGCCCATGCCACTGTTTAGCGCAAACGGTGTGGTATCCAGATCACAAGAACCTTTGCCTGGTGTGGGATATGGAAGAAATCCGGTCGATCGGACTACCGGATCACCGACAGAAGGTGACGATCTTGGTAGTGAGTACGATCTTGGCTCTGAGATGGATAGAAGAGAATATAACGAAGTATCGGGAAGCGGGGACGCCAACGGCAGAGTCAATATACGCGATAGACTACAGTAGGAGACTCGAGTTGTTTGAGTCTGCGTGCAAGGTATTCGCCATACCAACGGAAGTCAGACATGTCTGGAGCCGTTTGAGGTACTTCCCATGGTTTCGGGCGACGCTGACGTCCTGGTTGTACATGACAACGAAAGATCACATGAGAAAACATCAAAAGGAGTATCGACAGTTCCAGGCCGAGATTGGGCCGGAAGCTTTCAAGAGACCCCTGTTAACCCATCGTAATGCAATCACGACAGGATGGAAGAGAGTGGGTAAAATGTCTAGAGACAATACCAAGGCGAGGGAATCGATACTAGAGGAGGACCTGGCGAAGAACGTGAGCTTGAGCCTGCACAACTCCTTTTGTTTGAACCGGGAATCTAGGGTGAAGGCACTACCCAACCAAGCAAAGAGGTTGCAAGAGCAAAGAGAATGGATGCGATCCTACGAGCAGCTGAAGGCTTGGGAGGAGATTGTGATTAGCTCCGATGATGAAGAGGAACTGTTGAGACAGTTTGCCGTATCTAGTACTTCAGGGTGCAGTACCTCCAAGGCGAAGAGTGCGAGATGAGCAGGTGGCTCGAATGGATCTTGAGTCTTGAGAGGGAAAGGGGGGCTTGAGCGTGGATCCGGGTGAAACTTGGATTCACGAAAAAGAAGTTTTAACAAAGCAAATATTGTTATTAATATACTATATTTATTATATAAATCAAAATGCTGCATGACAATTTCCTGATTGAATAGGACAAAAGAAATTTTAAATGATTGGCTTGGAAAGCAAGAATTCAAGGGTGCAGGTGTGTGCAGATTTTGATTGCTGTTTAGCGATAGTGTGAAAATTTTACATGGCTGTGAATTTTGGGGTGTAGATAAGCTTAAGTCTGCTGCAAACTTCTGTAAATGACCACTGGCACTGTATCTTGAGTAACACTCAGTTTTCTGGGACTCACTGGCAGAAGACAGCACGCGATGAGGACATCGATCTCGAGTCCGGGGAGTATGTGCCAGTCGGTCATATTCGGAAGTTTGACCTTGAGAGAAGCAAAAAACACTTGATTTTGGAGTGAAATTTAGTTTTTCAAAATTTCGAATGGAACCTGTCATGCACGATTTTCTCGCGATAACTGAAAATCAGAAAAGAGAAGTCAGAACGATCGAGTGACAATCGCGGGAAAGTTGCTAGAAAAATCAGTGGGAAATTGCTATTCGCAATTTCAGTAGCAATAATAATCGAGAGTAGAGCTGTCCCATCTGAAACAGAGACGAGCGCATTCCCACGAACTGGATTGTTGTGACTGGAGTACTATTATTAACTGGACCAGAGTGAACCTTCGGTGGAAAGGTGGACAGCTGGAGTGTCCCAATGGTTCACGAGAACTCACAGTCTAGAGTACAAACTTGTTCTTGTTATTAAAACTAACTAACATTAAACTCATTTTAGTTACTTTATTGATTCTTGAGTTGCTTACCGACTTATTTACTTCCTGGTTCTTGAGCGTGCTACAATGTGAGTACTAATTTAAATTTCTAGAGTGTGTTTTATAATTGTTATGTTGAGGTAAGGCGAGTTTTAGGTTGATCCATCTGAAATGGATCAAAGTTCCACTGTCTAATAAAAAGTAACTTAACGGATTGTTCCGACCCGGTTTTTAATGGCGTTCATGTATTTTGGGTATCTAGAGACCTAAGTATGGGGACGTTTCTAATTCTAGAGTGGGGGGATATTTTAGTAGTAGCCTTTAAGCTGTAACGGGTCGTAGTCTCATGTCACAAGCGAACCGAATTGGCTCCGACTGATTTGAGGTACAAAAACACAAGAGATAGTGTCCCTGACTCTTGAGCCAATGGTTATAGGGCCTATTTTTCTTAAGCCTCATGTGTGACTGCAGTAGACGAATGTTACACAACTTTCGAGGAACACAGGTCAGGTAGTTTTCTTAAGCAGAGAATCTCACTCGCAATACAGATCAGAAGTTAACCTGTGAACCTGTGATTACAGGTTGCGAACGCTGCCGGTGTACTCGGCACTATAAATGATAAAACTGCTTTCAATGAAATTTATACAGGCAAGGTAACAACTTGTGAGTGGAAGCAAAGTCTCTCCGCCACTCAAAATCTTTTTGTTTAGAGCCACAATACCTCCTCAAGATAGATCAGAAGCAACCAGTCGTAGATGAAATTCGTCCCATGGGCTGTTGTTAGGCAGATCTTGTGGGATGTAACAATAGTTGACTCCCCAGCACCTAGTAGTATAAGCGCAGGCTCTGTTTGTAACCTCGGAACGGCCGCAGAATTCGAAAATGCTTACTCAGCTGTCTGTTGTTTAGAACTTAAGTCTTCTTTAATCATTACATTCAAGGGCTCTTTTTCACGCATCTTTTCACAAGTGTTAGTTTGTTAGCCATGCCAATGTTAATTGCATTATGACAACGTCAAAATTGTTTTGTAAATAAAAGTTTAAAGTTGTTGGTGTGGAAAAGAATCACAAGTTGAATAGTTTTCAGATAAAGCATGGGTCTTGCTTCAGGATATTTGGTGCTTTATAATTTGTCACAGTTTGCTGGGTAAGAATAATGAAAGTATAGTTGTGCATCGTTGTCCCCATTCATAAGTGAATCAAATTTGTTTTTAGTTGGAGTTACATTCTGGGTCAATGTGTTTTCGTTTTGGCTACAAAGCGAACATGTAGAGGGTTGTACTCATCGGAAATAGAGTTCGCACTCCATATATTTCAAACGGCAGCATTTCTTGAAGTGCTTCACGCAATGCTTGGTAAGATCGATAGTTAATTTTATCTGAGCCCGTTACGTCAGTTTTCTGGTTTCAGCGACAGTTTTGTTGACGATGTTTGAAACTTCGTAAAAACAAGTTATGCGCGAAAGTTTTCACAAGTGGAGGAGAGTTTGTTTGTTAATTGTTATATGTATACCGTACTATCTGAAGTTTTCTATTAATAAAAAGTATTCAACTGCTTCAGGTCTCGTGAAGTCAAATGTGGTGCAAACATTTGGGCAGGTTTTTTCTCGCAACTACATTGTTTGGCTCATCGTCTACCAAGTTCCCGATGCTAAGTACAGTCCAGGCATCCGTCTTCTCTTGTTTGCCTGGTCAATCACCGAAGTTGTGCGGTACCTCTTCTACGCGCTTCAAGTCATGGGAAAGAGCGTTTACTTAGTTACATGGCTCAGGTAATAACTGTTTTTGAGTAGATTTGGTTCTCATTTCAAAGTAGGTTTGAGATCCTAAAGGTGAGAATAGAAGAGCTTTTTATGTCATATGAACTATATCGTAATTTTATTGCTCGATTGAAATGTGAAAATAGAAGAGCTTTTTGTCATATCAACTATATTCTATTCTTATAGCTCGATTAAGAGTCGATAAATGTAGAGAGGACTGTTATATAGATCGTGAGAAATTTTTTGTTTTTTTTTTCAGGAAAAACTTAGTAATTCGTTCATGCTCAAATATGATTTTTTCGCGCTTTAACTATTGATTTCTTTTTAAGCTCAGTTCATTTCCTTAGTTTGTAGGAAGGCAAGATAACATTCACTATCGAACAGCCGAACAAGTTTGACTTTTTGATCCAGTTTTCTCAAATTGAAATTGGATTTATAAAAAAGTGTCAATCATGATTTGTTAAAGAAATTCCAAGAGCTTTAATAAGGCTATATATAAGTTGAGATTGTTTCAAAAAACGAATCAGTATTTTTTTCTGTGTACTTGCGTTCATTGAACGCTCAACTGTCTGTTGGCTACGTTTTCTTTTTGAAACTACATATTTGAAACTACATTCTGTGCGACTGTACCCGAAACAACTGCAGAAATATGTCAAACTAACTGAACTGAAACTGTGGGGGAAACCCCTTGCATACGCTAATTTCATATTATTATTATTATTATACAACACATAAGTGGATAGTTTTTTTTCCGTGTAGTAATAGTTATTTGATTACCACATGAAGAAAACTCTATAGATCGTGATGATTTTTTAAAATTCATTTGCGAAGCAAAGTGTTTTAGTACGAACCAACCTAAGTTGCAAATAAAATTGCTGCTTTTAGCGGCACTTTTGAATCGCTAGGCTGCGGTAGCAGTATAATATCATACGTGCTTTGACATTTGATTAGGAAAATGTTAACACAGCTGATGCATTTTTAATTCATCTAATGAATTGAAAAGTTACTTGTTTCAAACTGCAGTACAATAATGAAAATCTTGATTTCAGACATTTTCCAACTCAATGTATCTCGCAATGTTTTTGAAGTGCATAATTTATACATATTTGTTTTTATGTTTTCTAAGTTATTCATGCAAATTTGTGTCTTTTTATATTTGGTGCATCGAATTGGCAATTTTTTAGCACATGTAGCTGCGTTATTGGTGGCTTGTTTTTGGGGATTTTAAGCATCCGTGGTCAGTGCGTGAGACTCAAATTTGCTAGGTCGCAGATTCGAATCCGACACGCAGCCGAGTTTTTTTTAATTCGAGGCCTTTTTCTACTTTTTATTATTTCACTTGATAGAGCTGCTTTTTGGTCGTGTCATCTCAAGTTTTTTCGAAGCGCAGCGTCGCCTCTGATAATTTTTCAGGAAAATTTAAAATTTGTTGGGGCTCTTGATTTTGATTTCTTTCCAAGTTCAGTGCATTACCTTTGTTAGAAGGAAGGCAAACTCCTCTATCAAATAGCGAAAGTGTAGATAGAGGTCACAAAAACGTGATCGAGTTCTAATTTATTTTTCAGAGTACTCAGCAGGAAACTTATTTTTAACGTTCCCCTCCGCACTTTTTAAATTAGTTGTATTTTTTGTTAAGTTTGTTTTCTGTTGGTTTAGTAGCCTCTTTTTGGGTCGTTGCGAGAAAAAAGTTTTGCGTGCGTGTGTGTATTACGAGGGGAAATGGATAGTAGCTTGTTTAATTTGTTTTGAATTTAAAAACAATTTCGACTGGAAGAGTTTCTGCTCAAATAATTTCTGCTTTGTCACCGCTTGGTTTAATTTTATTCCGATGCTGTTTTTGCGTTTTTTGTTTGCGTATGTTTTTTACAATTATCTTGTTTCTATTTGATAGATCTAAATGTATCGCAAGGGGCGCGAAGCTCAGCTTTGCCTGTGTAAAAAAAATTGCCAATGAAAAATTGTTCTTGAAATTCAAACGAGCTTTAAGCCCATCTATTTTTTTAATTTTGAATTTCAAAATTGGAAGTTTTTTTTCAAAAATCAATTCTCTTTTTTTTCTGTTCCTTGCGTTCCTTGGCTCTTTTCGAACTGTCTGTTGGCTATGTTGTTTGAAATTCGAAAGTTGAAATTGTCAAAAAAGGCTGTTTTTGTTCTGTTTCATTACGCTTCCGATTAGCAAGCGTTATCAAATCGGAATGTAGACTTTTTTTCGGGTGAACAACTTTTTTTTACAAAATCACTTTAATCACTTGACATGCTTATTTTCATGAAATTTAACTACTTTGTGAATACTAGATTCTAAAGAATAGTTTCAGGGGGGAATCGGCTCAACTGTTGTCTGCTCAAAGATTGTCGGCCTTTTTCCGCTTCGTAAATTTTGTCCAGTTGCTAATGTCTTCTTAGAATTTCTGTGTGTTAAAAGCAGATATTATGAAAGTATGTGGTTTTTTTGGGGCACTTTGGAAAATATTTTACATTCAGCAAAAATATTGTTTTTTCTCAAAAACCCTTCTACCGATTTTCAAAAAAGTGGTTTCCATAGAAAGACCGCCTACATTCTTGTGTGCCTGCTTACTCACCTGGTCCCTTTTTGCTTTCCCCTTTTGTCTACAGCCTTCGACAAAGTCTGTGGGGGAATATTTGACCATTATTTTTGATTTTTTTGTTTTCAAAATCTGACTCTTTTTTTTTGGTTTCAATGATTGGAACAGATTTGAAAATCTCCCCGATATAAGCGGTTATGCCCAATTTTTTTTAAATAGACATTAAGTTATGGTCCTCGGAATAGTCGAGTTTTTGATTTTTGACCGTTTTTTAAGTTTTTTGGGTTGAGTGGAGATGACGGGTAGTGGAAAGCTCTCCTGTAAAAGCATGGTCAGTCACATTTTTTTATACAAAAAGTTTTCGTCCTCGGAAAACTCTTTTTTTTTGAGTTCTTGAGCGTTTTTCTTCTAAATTTTATAAATTTAACCATAAAATACCCTCTCATATCTGAGATTTTTTGTTCAATCCAAACAACGGGTTGTGGGAAGCTCTTTCCCATGCGATTACGCCTAATTTTTTTTACACCAAAAGTTGAGGCCCTCGGAAAAGTCAAAATTTTGGTTTTCGGTCGTGATTTGAAACTTTTTGCCTTTTTCTCGAGAACTACCCTCGCAAGTCCCAAATATGTGTTTTTTTTTGGTTCAATCAAAATTAAAGGTTGCGTGAATCTCTTCTGAATGAGTGGATAATCTCAAATTTTACACAAAAAGCTATGATTCTCGGAAATGTCAATTTTTTATATTAAGTGACCATTTTTTGGACATTTCTCGATAACTATTCTACCAAATCTGATATCATAGGTTTTATCGACCCAACCGGTTGTTGGAAGCTTAACCTTATAATATGCTACGCCCAGTTTCTTAAAAAAAGTTATGACCTTTGATCAAGCGTTTTTTACTCGACTCGAAAATTATTGTGCCAATTTTCAGGCTAGCGTTCAATCGAGAAACCTGATTTTGGGAATCTTCTCTACTTCACCGGCGACGACCTGCGGTTAGCAGAAAAAAGTTACCGGCTTCGGACAGTCAAATTTTTGAATTTTGACCTTTTGTAGAAACTCGATTTTTCTTAAAATCTACCCTATCAAATCTGAGATGAAAATTTCAATCGAAAGAAGCGGTGGCGCGAATTTTTCCTGCAGAAGCGGCTATATTAAGTTTTGTCAGAGAAAGGTTGTCTGTGGGAAAATTTCAAATCTCGAAAATTTATGCTCTCGCTTATTGTAGTAGAGAAACAACTAAGTCCAATTTTTGTAATTACGCATTTCGTCCCGCATCAATCTAACAAATTCATTCAATATCAAACACGTACCTCCAGCTTTAGCTGGGCCATAAATGTCTTCATCGAGACATCATTCTACAGCCTTCGAAAAAGACGATGTCTTCATTCTACAGCCTTCGAAAAAGTCTGTGGGGGAATATTTGACCATTATTTTTGATTTTTTTGTTTTCAAAATCTGACTCTTTTTTTGGTTTCAATGATTGGAACAGATTTGAAAATCTCCCCGATATAAGCGGTTATGCCCAATTTTTTTTAAATAGACATTAAGTTATGGTCCTCGGAATAGTCGAGTTTTTGATTTTTGACCGTTTTTTAAGTTTTTTGGGTTGAGTGGAGATGACGGGTAGTGGAAAGCTCCCCTGTAAAAGCATGGTCAGTCACATTTTTTTATACAAAAAGTTTTCGTCCTCGAAAAACTCTTTTTTTTGAGTTCTTGAGCGTTTTTCTTCTAAATTTTATAAATTTAACCATAAAATACCCTCTCATATCTGAGATTTTTTTGTTCAATCCAAACAATGGGTTGTGGGAAGCTCTTTCCCATGCGATTACGCCTGATTTTTTTTTACACCAAAAGTTAAGGCCCATCGGAAAAGTCAAAATTTTGGTTTTCGGTCGTGATTTGAAACTTTTTGCCTTTTTTTCGAGAACTACCCTCCCAAGTCCCAAATATGTGTTTTTTTTTTTGGTTCAATCAAAATTAAAGGTTGCGTGAATCTCTTCTGAATGAGTGGATAATCTCAAATTTTACACAAAAAGCTATGATTCTCGGAAATGTCAATTTTTTATATTAAGTGACCATTTTTGGACTTTTCTCGATAACTATTCTACCAAATCTGATATCATAGGTTTTATTGACCCAACCGGTTGTTGGAAGCTTACCCTTATAATATGCTACGCCCAGTTTCTTTTTAAAAAAAGTTATGACCTTTGATCAAGCGTTTTTTACTCGACTCAAAAATTATTGTGCCAATTTTCAGGCTAGCGTTCAATCGAGAAACCTGATTTTGGGAATCTTCTCTACTTCACCGGCGACGACCTGCGGTTAGCAGAAAAAAGTTACCGGCTTCGGACAGTCAAATTTTTGAATTTTGACCTTTTGTAGAAACTCGATTTTTCTTAAAATCTACCCTATCAAATCTGAGATGAAAATTTCAATCGAAAGAAGCGGTGGCGCGAATTTTTCCTGCAGAAGCGGCTATATTAAGTTTTGTCAGAGAAAGGTTGTCTGTGGGAAAATTCCAAATCTCGAAAATTTATGCTCTTCTCACTTATTGTAGGTAGTAGAGAAACAACTAAGTCCAATTTTTGTAATTACGCATTTCGTCCCGCATCAGTCTAACAAATTCATTTAATATCAAACACGTACCTCCAGCTTTAGCTGGGCCATAAATGTCTTCATCGAGACAAGAAAATTTTGTTTCACCTAGTTTTTTTCAACTATTTTCATTTTTTTCGACATGCTTTTTTAATGATTGTGTTGTATCTCAAGTTGTGCGAAGCTCCGCTTCGCCTCTGTGTGGAAGTTGTCCTTGAAAGTTGAAGTTCATATAAAGTTCATCTTTTTGGGGGCTGGGTCCGTGGTTCATATTTTGTTTTGTTGGCAGGCTTGGCTCGGCTTTGGAAACAGCGTACTGAAACTTATGTTGTATTACATTTTAAAAAATGCCGTTTTGTGCCAGATAGTCGGCAGTTGCGTCGGGAATTGCAATTTTGTTTATTTAATTGAGTATACAGTGCTGAATTAGATTATTTGACCACCAAACCAGACACTGTCGAGTTTATTACTTTTTTCAAATTAACAAGCGTCTGTTAGGAAACATTGAGTCTCAATTTGGAGAATCAATTGTTTTTAGAAGCAATTTGCGAGCTTCGTGAGTTTCCTCGTTGTTTTCAGACCAAACGGGATGTAACGGAGTTGGCTAAGTTTGTTTTTTAACTTAATTGTTGTGTTATTAGTTAAATTTTTGTGTTATTGAAAGTTCATCTGGTTGTGCGATGTTTAGGTACACAATGTTCTTAGTACTGTATCCTATGGGCGTTGCTGGTGAGATGTGGACTGTTTACTCTGCCCAGCCGGAGATTTTGAAGAAGGATGTGTTGTCAGTGGCCATGCCAAATCCATACAACATCGCATTTTCATTCTATTATGCAACATGGCTCCAACAGTTACTATGGCCACTCGGTTTGTTCCATTTCAGAGATATAGTCATAAGTCCCTAGAGCAATATGAAGCTTTTAGATAGTTTTTTTGGCGGTAACGTCTCGCCAAATCTATCTCGTGATACGATTGATGATTATATATTAAAAAAATAAGATGAAGCCATCAAATTGTTAGTTTTATAGTTCAAAAAATATTTTTATTTTCCCACTAGCATCAATACAGAAATACCTTCAAATAGAAAATGTATCTCGAATGAAAAAATGAAGAAAAAACAGTCAAAACGTTTTGTTAAAAATTTTTTGCTCCACCTGTACTTTTTACAAATTAAGTTCCAAATATACTGTTTTTTTTAACTATAAAATAGAACCTTTGTGGGATGGGACAGCTTTGGATAGCCAAGGGGTGGAATCCATCAAAAATTGGTGAAAAGTTAATATGTTTGCCATGCTTTTATTCCAGGTCTGTATCAACTCTATACGTATATGCTGAAGCAGCGCTCCAAGGTACTGGGGGGCAAAAGTACTCCTCCCACTCCGCATCAGAAAACGCAGTGAAATCACCGCCTGAAACAAACATTCGACCATCATACATTTGATGATAAATGATAACGCTCTGACGATAAAATATCTGATGACTTAACTTGTAATATGTGTATCCTACTTTTGAATTTGTGTATCCGGGTTCATGTTTGTCAGTTTGAAATTACCCTGTAACTTTATATGATAAACTGCTGATTAGAATATGAAATCGATGACGTCGTTTCTTTCATTCTACCATGAGCACGTCGGAAGTTCGTAAATAGAATACTATTTGAGGTTGGAATGCGAACATGATTTTTTCTACAAAGAAGGTGGGTAAAGGGTTTGGAGAAGTTTGTATTCTGTCTAAATTTTAGAGGATATTACAACTAAAAAAACCGTTACAAATGCAATAAAATTAAACGGAGTGTCATCAAAATTTAGGAAATAATAAATTCTGTTCAGGCTGAAATTTTACTTTTTCGCGCTTTGATTTCTTTTTAAGTTCAGTTCGTTTTTTTTGTTAAAGAGAAGGAAACTCTACAATCGAACAGCGAAAAGGTAAAGTTCAAAAAAAAATGTGATCGACTTTTAATGTCGATGGAATTTTAGTATCAGATTTCCCAGCGAAAATATATTTTTTGTATTGATCCAGCTTTCTCAAATTGGTTTGTTTCATCAAAAAATCTCAATGATGAATTGTTCTAGAAATTCCAAAAAATTTAAGGCTCTTTTTTCCGAAAGTTGATACTTTTTCTAAAAAAAAACAAGCAGTTATTTTTGGTCTACTTGCATTAATTAAATATTTTCCAAGAAATCTCAACATTCAAAATTTGAACCCAAACTATATGGTCTTAAATTTTTTGAAATTTCTAGAATAATTCGTTATCGACTTTTTTGATGAAGCTGACCCTATTTGAGAGAACTTGGTCAATAGATAAAATTTTTATTTCGCTAGGAAATCTGATACTAAAATTCCATCTCCGAAATTAGAAGTCGATCACATTTTTTATGATTTTACCTTTTAGGCGTTGGATTGTACAGTTTACTTCTTTTTAAACAAAATAAATGAACTGTACTTGAAAAGAAATCGACAGTCAAACCGCAAAAAAGTAAACCATTCATCTATCAATTCTAATTCAAAGCGCTTCAAGGTCATATTGTTTTTACTTTAAAGTTCGAACGTTCATGTTTTTTTCTTCAAATTATAAAGACAGTTAATTGACTCCCAACTGTCTCTTGGCTATGTTTTTGAAAAAATCTCAGCTTTCAAAATTTAGATGGCCCTAAATTTTTTGTACTTTTAGAATAATTCATGATTGCCATTTTTTTTTGATAAAACTAGCCTAATTTGAGAGAACTTGATCAATAGATGAAATTTTTATTTAGCTGGTAAATCTGATGCTAAAATTCCATCTCGAAATTAAAAGTCGATCATTTTTCTTGTGATTTTACTTTTTTGCTGATCGATTGTAGAGTTTCCTTTTTGTAAAACAAAATAAATTTACTGCACTTGAAAAGAAACCAAAAGTCAAACCGCGAAAAAGTAAACTATTCATATTTCAATCCTAATTCAAAGTCTTCACTTTTAAGTTCGAAAAGTGATGTTTTTTTCTTCAAATTTCAAGACAATTAATTGAGTCTTTTCCAACTGTCTCTTGGAAGTTTGTAGAAAAATTCATGATTGACATTTGTTTGATAAAACTAGTCCAACTTGAGAGAACTTGATTACAAGATAAAATTTTTGTTTCGCTGGTAAATCTGATACTGAAATTTCATCTCCGCAATTAGAAGTCGATCACATTTTTTTATGATTTAACCTTTTCACTGTTCGATAGTAGAGTTTCCTTCTTTTTACCAAAAGGAATAAAATGAACTTGAAAAGAAATCAATAATCAAACCTCGAAAAACGAAACTGCTCATATTTCAACCCTAATTCAAATTGCTTTAAGTTCATATTTTTTTCGTTAAAGTTCGAACGTTGATGCTGCTCCAAAATACAAGACAGTTTATTTTTTCTTTGTTCCCTTGCGCTCATTTTACTTCTGTTAGCTATGACCAATTTTCTCATCACTTTAAGGAAGCAAGGACTAAAAGAACTTCAATTTGATGCCAAATTTGATTCACTGCGAGTCTTCTTTGAAGTGGTCAAAATTGAAACGAAAAAACTTTTACCATCAGTTCTTTTTCTTCAGGAAACGGCCGGCTAGTTAGTTTTGTCCGAAAAACAGCTCGCAAAAAATGTTTTTTTTTTGGAACCGTTATTCTCAACGAATTTCTGGTCCCATCACGATATTTTTGGTTTTGTAAATATAGCTTTTGTTAACGCTTATATGATTTCAATGTTTGCATGGAGTCAACTTAAGGTTAACTGTCAAGTAATTGTTTTTTTCGTTTCAAAGAAGATCAATTTTTTTCAATTAGGATAAGAAAAGCCGGCTTAATCTGGAACTAGTTCGATCATATATTTTCACTTTTTAACGGTTTTGCATTTTTGGTACTGTAAATTTTGCTGTTCCAAATTTTTTGTGGGTTCTGGTGAATGAATTAATATTGAATGAATCCTAAATAAAATTAAAATGAGATCAAAAGATTAAAATGAGAATCCAAATAAAATGAGATCAAAAGATGTTTCAAAATTGGATTTAGTTTTTTCGAATCTTCAATTTTTGATGCCTAAAACTCTTTTTGATATAGTTCTAACAGTTGAGTTAATGCTTTGCTAAAAAATATTGAAACAAGTTTTCAAGCAGCTAGATTGCTTTTGTTTGTTTTTCAAAGCGCTTTTTTCATGTTTTCCTACTTTGATTTTTTTGCTTTTTCGCGATGAGTTTCCAAGGCCATACACATTTAATTTCTTACATGCTCCTTTTGCGACTGTTTTTTATTAAGCAGAATTATAAATTATTGCCATGGGATGACTTGTAGCAGCAAGGACTTGAGAAAAATTAAAACCAGTTTCTATGCAGCTTTTTGTTTTCTCACAGCTATCGTTGTTTCTGGTAGCTATACTAATCGATTAAGGTTTTTCAATTTAGTCGGTCAACAATTTAATGATTTTTTCAGTATTACATGAGAATCAGAATCAAAACAGCAAAATTTCCAATAAAAACAATCCAAAATTAGACTTTAATAACAACTTCTTAGTTTTGTCTTAGATTTTATTTTAAAGATGTCTGAGAGTCATTTTAAAGATGAATTCGTTTTAACAGCCCTAGAAAAGTTTCAAACTTCAAACTCCAAATTTTTTTCTAAGGATTGTCGAAAAGTTATTTTTTTAAATAAAAACCAATGAACAAAAAACCTTGTTAGGTGAGCTTTCTAATGCAAAAGAAGTTTTGTTGGAAATAGAGGTTTCTTCGCGTTCGATTTTCAGTCTCGGGTTCGAGTTTCAGTCGAGCCTTCTTTTTCGTAAATGAAATTTAAAAAAAATTCTTGGAAAAAATGAATTGGATTATCGTTTGTCTGCTTTTTTGTTTTGCCGGCTTAGTGGCCACATCATGGGATTTTCTTGAGCTTTGAGCAATTCTTATTGAAGTTGTAATTGTTTTTTTTTGCTCTTTTTTGCCTCAATTTTTGACATATGTTTTATTATTTATTTCAATTTGTGTAATTTGAAAGGCATTTTTGTCTCCTTTTTTATTGGATAGCTTGCTATGTTTGCGTTGTTTAGCGTTTGATGCAAAGCTTGAGCTTTGCTTCTGTGTTCGAAATAAGTTTTAACTGTAGGAATATGGGACGCGATCTTTTCGTCTTTATTTTCAAGTTTACAGTCGCAATGCGTATTTTTGCTCGGTTTCATGAACCAACATATTACTTGTGGCGTGTTTTTAAGGCAAACATGGCTTAATTTTTATCGAAAATATTTGTTGAAAACTAAAAGTATCTGAAAAAGTGTTGATGAAAATTTTTTATACTTTGTTTTCAGGTCGACCAAATTCAGACCCAATTTTGTTAAATATCTCTAGCAACCCTTTGAAAATATAGCTCAAATTAACGTATCTAGGCAGTTTTGGAAACCTTTGACCAAAAAAAATTGTTCTTTTTGGCGCGCGTTGTCCTCTCATTTTTAATATATATCCATTGGCGACAAAGCCGCGTTTGCAAAAAAAATTAACAACTACCGGCTGGCAATTGCTATCTGGGACTGTATTGATTTTTTAGAGTGCCGGTCAACCTCTGTAGCTTATCTGACGCCGAACCAAGTCACTCTTTTAATTATTCTCTTTGTCGTTTTTCCGCGGTATAAAGAGTGAGCCCAAGCTCCTCAGTCTCCCAAAGAAACAAAAATTTGAGTCCATGGATTCAGACATCTGTCGTTGTTTGCAAGGATGTCTTCAGATAAAGAGCACCTCTGAAACTACTTATGATATACGGCCTATGTTACGCCTTCAAAGCAAGATTTTTCAAGTTTCGACCTAGCTAAGTCCTTCTAAATAGTTTCATCTAGATTGTGTTAAAGTTTCAACCCTATATCTTAATAAGTTGCAGAGAAGACGACAGAAACGCGAAGAAAAAATTTTCGTTCATATGAACGCTGAAATCAAGTGTCCACTTATTTTTTGTAGCCCAGTGTATCTTCATTTGTTTTTTAGGCACTTCTGATGGCCAATGTTTAACTTAGATAATTTCCATATACAACATGATTGTTCTCTATCAGTTTTCGAATACGTTCTTTCTGTTGTTCATTCAACAAAACGTCCCCCATATTTTTTGTATCGTGCAATTTTAACTGTGTCTTCAAATCAGCTGTGGCCATCGATAGCTGTCTGTCCGTGTAGTTGTATTTTAGAAATTGAAAAATGTTGCTAATGGCGTCGAATGTGTCTATTTCGAGGTCCTCGTAGTGGACCAGAAGCATGTCAATGTCGTCCATTTTAACCAAAGCTTCACTGAAACGCAATGATCTTATAAATCATTTTCTACTTTTAATTCACATTGACTGCTACATTTGCAACCGGATACTAAGTTTTTTTTAGTAAGTAACCTTGTTCACAGGACTCATTCATCTCATAGACTTATCTCTACAATATATGTCTGTTGAGTTACCGCAACAGACAGATTTTGAGAATGTTAGCCTTTTCATTATCCGTCTTAATTGACCTTTTTTAAAATCTTGGTTGTAATTTTACCAACTGGATTTTCTAAGTTTTAATTTTTTTTTTGGCATAATAGGCTTTGGCTTTTATTTAATCGGCTTAGTGGCCGTATATTGCGTCGTTTGATGACCGAAAAAAATATG